CCGGAAAAATATGAGGAATATTCGGTCAAGAGCTTTTGCGGAGAAATTATTTTTCGTTCGGCCGTGACGAACGAAAACGTGCAAAAATGCGTGTTTTGCGTGATTTTTTATGAAATGCTTAAAATGGCCTGAAACGTATGCAAAAAAAATTTAAGACGATTTTGAGCAATTTAAAATTTTACGCGCGCATTGACGCGCGCGCCTACGCGTACGCGCATTTTTGCGCGCATTTATTGACCTCATATTGATCCGACGGATATTGATCTTAATCTTGATAAATATGAATGTAAAATTACTTTCCGTTATGAAGATATGATCATAAGTTGATTTTTACAAAATGGCGCCTGGATGACGTCACGATGACTTTGAGTCTTTGAAAAGTCACGCAGTTCTAAGTTAGACTAAGATCTATCATCAGTGAAAGATTCATAACAATGGCTTTATTGAGTCTTGAGATATCCTGCGAACAAATTCGAGGAAGAATAATAAATAAAAAAAAAATAAATAAAAATCTTGACGAAATCAAAAGGTGATACGTTGACTTCGTTACGTATCACCTAATAACTAGACTTGAATTCGTCACGAAGACGAATAAGGTGGTCTGTCTAAGTCTTATGATAGATTTGAGAATGGGATAAGTTATATAGACATGTAAACAATGATGATGATGATGATGATGATCTTGATAGTAATGGTGATGACGATGATGACGATGATAATGATAATGTTGATGATGACGATGATGATGTTGATGATCATGATCATGATCATGATCGTGAGCATGATCCTGACATCTAATTGAAAAAAATGAGAGAGATGTAGATAGCATATAGTCTCAGCTACATTATACTCAAAAATCAACAAAAAACAAGCGGAAATAACGGCGATATTGCTCGCAAAAGACAGGAATGTAGAATCCAGATTTAAGAAAAAGTCATCTCCCATAAGTATTACAAGCAAAAAGTAATGGATCAAGTGATAATAGGGTAATAATAAATTAAATATAGTTGTTTATTACATTTGTTGCGATTCTACGTGTTTTAATATTCAAATGAGATGGTACAGTGAAAGGTCAAAAAGAAAAAAAAGTGAAGAAAAAAAATTGTTGGAGACGCCCGGACTCGAACCAGGGACCTCGATGTCGGAAGTCAAGTGCGTTACCGATATACCAAAACATTTCACATAGAGATTACACGTAAACGGAAAATGGAATTCTCAAATCCCACTTTGTAAGTGAAATATGAGCATGATCCCGGCATCTGATCGAAAAATAAAGGGCACACCTGTGATAGCTTATTGTCTCAGCTACAACATACTCAAAGCTCAGCGTAAACAAAGATAAAACGACGGAGATATTGCTCGCGAAAGACGAGAATGTAGAATCCAGTTTTGAGAAAAAGTCATGTCCCATAGAGAATACACGCAAAATGTGACAAATTGACATGCCTCCTTTAATCTTAAAAATACGCCATGATGCTTTTGTCAAAATGAAATATTGTGGAAACTGCATTTGTAGAGAATATTCTCAGGTAGAACATATCAAAATTTGAAAGAAAATTGATGAATATTTACAGAGATACAATCAATTTTCCAAAAATCTGCTGACGTCATAATATGAAAATTAAAATTTTGAGTTTGGAGGCCATTATGATGACGTCATGAGTTAATTGAGGGTCAAATGAGACATGAAATCATATCTCCAACTCATGCTTTTTCCAACCATGATATAAAAGTTGGGGTCAATTGACTATCTGAAGAGCTATTTTGATTTTTAAAATGTCGTGTTTTTGATCAAATTTGCATTATATTGCCCATAGCAGTACGCGCGGATTTTGAACTTTGACGCGCGCTCACAGCCTTATGAAAGGTCAAGAGTGACTGAAATTAATGTAAATTGTCATTTACGGTAAGAGGAATCTAAATCATGTACAAAATTTGAATTTGACGTTTTCTGCGCGCTGTGCGCGCGCGCAACGCGCGCGGGGAACACGTACGGACGGAAAAATTTGAAATGCTTAAAATGACCTGATTCGTACTCTCGTTCAATAGTTAAGTGATTTTGAGCATTTTAAAATTTTGACGTGCGCGTACGTGCGCGTCATGACCTTTATGTGACCTTTGATGACATGCGTTGTTGACTCTTGACCTGAAGTGTATGTGATATGAATATGAATGACCTTTGCTCATGCGTCATGAAGATATGATGGATAACGTGATTTCACAAAATGGCGCCTGGATGACGTCACGATGACTTGATGACCTTGAAAATGTTTCTGTCACGTCTCATGACAATGACCTATGACTGTGCCAAAGTTGAACGAAATTGATCAAACTGATCTTGAGTTATCTTGTCCACAAAAAAGTGAATAAATAAATAAATAAATAAAGAAAGAAAATTCTGACGAAAACAATAGGTGATCTGTCGTTGACAGACCACCTAACAAGAGGGTGGTATGTGATACATACCACCTAATTATCGGTGGTATGTACTGTAATGTGAAATGTGAAAAATGACATCCTTTTAATTGCAAATTTAGACCATGATGCCGTGACCTAAATCAAAAATAAAATACACAACTTTCGTATAAAATCGTCTCAGCTATACCATCTCCAAAATTGATAGAAAACAACCAATATGCACTGAGATACATGTTCATGTACACTCAATTTTGTACAAAAGTTATGACGTCATTAAGTAAAAATTAGTATTTTTAAGTTCTTAGGCCGTTATGATGACGTCATGATATACTTTTGGACAAAAAAAGACATGAAATCATATTCCCGACTCATATTCTATCCAAATATGAAGAAAAAAAATGGGGGCTCCCGTTCATCCTGAAGAGTTATAATGGATTTTGTGTACATGTAGGCATATTTTTGGCCATGTTATGTATTGAGAAAACTCGCGCGCACGTACGTCCATCTTGAACGGACGCTCATTCCGTTATCAATGGTCATGAAATGCTTTACATGGTATCAAATTGTTGGGAAAATTATGAAGATTACTATGTTTCAAATAACAGCGCACACAATATTCCACTTATAGACCGACTTTCTATAGGCATATGCCATGGTCTGAAGTTAATGTTAAGTTTTCTCGAGAACAAAACACGAGTGTTGTTTGGTTTGTGGAACATGCTAGCAATGTGCTGGTTGCACGTCGTGTATGTGATGACAACACCCAGGTACTTGCGAGATGTCATAGACCCTAATAACACACCTACTTTCACACAATTCCTATAGATGGAACGTTTCTTTGTTGTCATATAGAATAATGTTCCCATAAATTACTGTTTTTATCAGTATGAACATTATAGAGCCACTAGGGCAATATGATGACATCAAATCGGTTAAATAGCATCATATTCAGATTCACTGACCCATATAACCCCAGATTAGTATCAATTTGTGCTATTTTAGCCCTTTTTTAAAATAGAAAGTACAGTCGACATCTCACTAAGATAGCGGCCATTTTGGTTTGACCATTACAGCGGCCCGAGGGGACGTCCTTCTCGGGTGCCAACCAAAAATCGAAATAGTATGGTATGGGCAACCCATGTGCCAAATTTGGTGCTTTTGGAAGAATGTGAACCAAAATATCCCTAACAACCCCCACTAGAAGTGTAAGAAATACACCGAGAGAGAGAGAGAGAGAGAGGGGGGGAAAGGAAAAATAATAGGACAGGCTGAGAACGTGTGTTAGAGATTTAAAGAAGAGAGACAGAAAGAGAGCGTGAAAACTGGAAAACAACAACAATATGCACGTCAGTGAATCAGATTTCATATAGTGTTGTAAATAAAATACTGCACAATACATTCCATTACAGTTACTGCTTTGTTCTGTGGGGAGGAGCAATGTCTTCCTCTATGTTTTTTTTTTTTCTTTCTTTTTTTATGTGACGTTATTTAATTATGCAAAATTCATGCGGCGTCTTGTCCAGTAATATGCCTATATTTAGGGTACCGTGTTATAGACGTGTCCATTTAGGATGGGGGGGGGGGATTATGAAAACTCATGTGATTTCATCTTACTTGGTGTTGTTAGACCTATTTAACTTTTAACGTACGATCATTAAAATCAAATGTATTGCTGGAATTCATAGTCTTTGGTTAGGATTTTTTATTATTTATTTTAAAGCAAGGTTATTTTATTAGCTCCTCTAGGCTACTCGTACATTGTATATCCCAAAATTTTCCATCAAATAATGCTGACACATGGCTTTTATAAATTGGTATTATAGATGTGACCGGTGCATGGCGCGCTGAGGTTCGTCAGCAGATGATATAGAATTAGCTGCGCTGGTAGTACCGACCGGTATTGTTGCGTGATAATTAAGATGTCGAGCATTACCAAACTTCTGTTGGTTGGAAATTTCATTGTCAAGAACTCGAGAAGTGGACGTGCGTTTATGCAAGGCAAAGTGGGGGTGGAAGGGCATCCCGAGGAATTATTTGACATATTTGTCAACGATCTAATTGGGATGCAAGCTGTGGTACGGAAATTGGAAGCTCTTGAGGTGCTTACATCATTTGGAGCCAAGAATATTGTTATAGACAGAATCGCTAAGAAGGCACTGGTCAACCATAACACCAAGGTTGGTAGATCTAGACAGAGTAGTACCCCTATCTGTATTTAACTATAACCTTAATTTTTAAGGATGTCTTAATGCAAGAAATTACAATAATTTGGTATTGGTAACTAACTTATTGTGCCTAGGCCAGATCTAGAGAATGCAGGCAGCTTTGCTGCCTGCGTTTTAGGCTCATCTATCCAAAATAAGTGAGTCATTTTTTCATGCCATCCTAGGGCAAAAATCTGAAAATATTTTAATTTTTTTTTTAGCTACCTGGCATCTTTGTTCTTTCCTTAACTGTGACGGGCTATTTAATTTTTTTTCCCAAGATCATTTCTGTGCCAAAATCCGTGATTTAGACGGGTCGTTCACTTTTTCCCCGTGTTATAATTATAATAATTCCACTGCCATTTTGAAACTTCGCAAACGGTACCCAGCGACGCTTAATGCCGGCATGGCGCGCGTGCGCGGTATCGTTTGCGATGTTTCAAAACAGTCACAGTGGGAATATAACATGCGAAAAAATGAACGACCCGTCTAAATCACGGAATTTGGCACAAAAATGATCTTGGGGAAAAAAAGTAAATGGCCCGTCACTGTTAAAGAAGGAACAAAGATGCCAGGTAGGTATAATTTAAAAAAATATATTTTCAGATTTTTGCCCTAGGCTATGAGGATGGCATGAAAATATTACTCACTTATTTTGGATGAGCCTAAAAAGTTAGAACCTGCGTTCTTGCTGCCTGCAAAGCTGCCTGCGTTCCTAGGGCTAATAGAATACCAACTTATAGGTCTAGCAAAACCAAAAGCATGATTGAAACCCAGTTTCATCTAAATCCAAGACCAAGGCAAAAATCAATAATAAAATTTAAAAAAACAAGTAGATCTAGCAAACTTTGATCTAGACCCTAGACCCTTGGGGGGGGGGGGGGGGGTCAGGCCTGAAAAATTATTCTTCTTCTTCCAGTTGACCAGTGTTGTTCGAGATGGATCAGCAATAGGTGTTGCTAAAAACAAATATCGGGTTAAATTGAATGTATAAATAATGAAATGGGCCTAGATCCTTTTGAACACTCAACAAATAAGTGGTTGGAGTCTATAATTTGAGGGTATCTATTTGTGATATGATTGGAAAGCTGATTTTAATTGAAATTTATGAATTTTCTTTTCATTTTTATTTCAGTTCTTCTACAAGATTGCAGGTTTTGATTTTCCGGATGAAATCGTACAGAACTACCTAAGCCCACCTGTTCTTAACATTGCACAAGTAAAAGCGTCGCCGACGAAGAAGCGTGTTAGCGTAATGGCGAATGTGGAAGAGGTAAGTGTTTTTTTTTTTTTTTTTTTGCAACATTTTAGTGACCACTTACTCGTACGCACGCATTGACTTCTGTACAAATTAAGTCTGTGGACGGAGGTGGAAAAAAGAGACCGCAGCAATGTACATGTATGCCAAGCTTTGTCAGTTGTATGATAATTATTTGTATTTGTGTATTAATTTTACCCTCGATCTGTACGATGTTCTGGGGGCTTTGCTTCCACACCCTCGCCCATAATGGAAGTTTCCCTGATCTGCAAATGTCGAAACATGTTTTTTCGATTTAAGGTTCCAGGGGCTCTTTTGGTAATTGTTGGACTTAAAGTTGGAGCCCATCACCCAAATAGGGATGGATTTTCTGCAAACTGCTATGGAATCTTGCATTTACGATATTGTTTGCTACGATAATCTCATTTCTTGAACCTGGCAATGCTTTTGCAATGAGATTCATTTGAAATGGAAATATAAAGAGTGGCCCTGTAATTTTTGGGTACGGCCTACATTGTATATTTTAGGTTTATAAGTTTTTATTTATTAGTATATTTGAACTATGGGTGAGTTTTGTAGTTCATATTTTGTATTTGTGTAGGTTGGAGAAGTCCGTAATGTCGCAGGAGGGAAGAGAATACGCACAGTCTCGTTAAATGACGGAGAGGAGTCCATTCGGCTTAGCCTCTGGGAAGAACATACGGACATTCCCATTCACATAAATGATCGACTCAAAATCGAGTGTGTGGAGGTTTCGGAATGGAACAACGTAAAACAATTGGATTCGACGTCAGCCATGCGTGTTGAGGTTTGTATGCATACAATAGTTGAAAAGTTGAAAGTGGGTTTGATCCCCGGCACTTATTTCCTTGGGCAAGGCATTTTACTTACATTAGCTTCACTCCATCCAGGTGTAGATGCATACCTGGGAGGATGATATACACGCCTATAAAATGTTAAATGGCAGCTGGAATTGAATTCAAGGAACGGGGTAATAATATAGCGATTTTAGAGCCTTTATATGGGAAAAGTGCATTATAAATATTAATATAGTAATATTATTAATAGCTTTATCATGGATATATGATATCAAAGGCACTGAATTTTCACAAAAGAATTATGATTAAGTTGGTTTAGTTTTTATTATACTGGTATGTTCCAAGAAACGTTTTGATTAGAAGCCCCCGGTAAATATGATATGTAATGCATGACAGAGTTATGTTTTTGAGCAGTGTCACCACAAAGTTTTGATAAATGTCTGGGAAAAAGAAATTGTGCTTTTAGATTTATGCCAACAATAACAATTGATTCAATAAAATCCATATTTGTTCTTGGATACATGACATACATGGTATAAATGAAGAATTGGAGATTGTTACAATACTAGCTGTTATTGTATAGTGCCATCTGTTGTTGAGTAAAGGTCAAAGAATAAAGCCCCTATTTTGACTTTAAGAATAATCAGACAGGTTGATCAATGGGTATACATGTAGGCAATTGCAAAATGTGCATTCTGCATCTTATTGCAGTCAAAGCATTAGCGGAGATGTTAAGCAGGAAGAGTTGGAAAAGCATACAATAAACACCATTTTGGGGTTGTAAGTTTATATTACATGGCATTATGCTATTTTTTCTGTGAAATGTGGATTGTTATTCTATGAATTATTTTGAAATGAATTGGGTTTTAATTTACTATGTTAATTTCATATTTATTTTGTTGTTGCACATATGTGCTATATATCTTTATGTTTGTTTTATTGCAGCCAGTGGTAATGAATGATGAGGATAAGACTGGCCAAGTTATTGCTCTTACGAGTGACAAGTAAGTTTGTTTGAATTTAAATATATTTTTTGTTTCAACATTTTGTCTACCAGAGGTAAAAAAGGGTAATTTTGTTGGGTTGACGTGTGTTGGTCTGTTTGTGTTTGTCATTCTTGTGGTATTGCAGGAACTATGTATCTTTGGCGTTCATTGAAACTGTTGTATCAGTTGGTTGGGGTCAAATATCAATTTTGAGATTTTGTGGAAAAGGGAAGTGGAAGTCCTCTATACAGTGCGTGTCAATGAAAACTATACATTTTCAAAATGTCTACCAAATAAAAACTAAATGGTTCTTGGGGGAAATGTTTATATACTATGTAGAAAAAGTTCATATATCCTCAAATATTATCATGACACAAAAAGTCTAAAAATAATGCATGCTTCAGTGAGCAATGTCCATTTTTGTAAAGGACACAAAAAAGAGGCTGTGCAGGAATTAGCTATTCATTTATGACAGGCGTATGGGTTGCCATGGGGATCAAAATTAATAATGTAATAAATCAGCTAACATAGTCATAATTAAACTACAAGTTAAAAATAGACAATCAATATTTAAATGTAAAAATGTAATGGTTAACGGTTTGTTTTCATACATGTATTATTAATGTTTAATTGTTTTGACTTTTAGTTTGCTTTTGTCTTCGTTAGTTGATTTATGCCGTTATTGATTTTGACCCATATGGCGGCACATAAGCATGTTAAATGAATAATGAATTCCTGCGCAGCCTTGTTTTGTGTCCTTTATAAAAGTGGGAATTGCTCATTGAAGTATGTGTTATTTTCGGCTTTTTTTGTGTCATAATGATTATAGTTGATCATAAGGTCATGTGTCACATTGGGGTATAGTAAGAGGGTGGAGGCGTTACATTTTGGAGGAAAAATTATCACATTTTTTCACATAGCATGAAAACAATGTACAGTCATGAGCTGTACAATGTCTCATATTGTAGATAAATTATCAGGTTACATGTCTGTGAAGTTTCAGCTTTGTCGTCCTAGTTTTTATACAAAGATAATTTGAGTGAGTATAGGGTAGAGAGTGGAGGATCCTACATGTATGGTGGAGGATCCTACGTACGGTGGAGGCATATGTGTTAAAGTATAGGGAATTCCAATTTTTGTTATTTTCTTATTCTTTGTTGCGTTATATTTTTGCATCCACTCAGTCATACAGGTTGAGTGATACTCGGTGAGTAAATGGGCAATTCCAAGCTGAAGTGCATGCATGGAGCTGAAACTTTAATGTGGTACTGTGCCTTAATTTGTAAATGCAAATTAGGATCTGAAATTAACACAAAGGCCTCTTTACAACCAATCATTTAAAGGCATTGGCTAACGTCTTTAGGATTTTAAAAAAGCTTGTTTTACTACTTGAAAATGATTTAAACGTACATGAGTTATAGTTTAAAAACACCAATCTGAAAGTGTCATATGAAAATATCTACAGGAATTTTTTTTCAAATAGCGAAAATGTGATACAATATGTTTGGAAACGATATCAATCTTTTTTTAACGGTTGGTTCTTGCAATTTTCTTGTTAAATTTCTTTTAAATCTAATTTTGTTCCTTGAAAATGGTATAAACGTATGAGTTAATTAGGAAGACCAATCGGAATGTCTCAAATCGTAATATCTATGGGAAGTATTTTTAAATATTGAAAATCTGAAGCAATGTTTGAAAATGATATTTAACGATATCTAGTGATCGATTCTTGTAACGGCCGTTGTAATTTTTCTCGCGGCGAGAATAAATACTCAAAATCTGTGTTTTAGACGTATACTTATCTAAAGCGTTTCATTCCAAATTTTTGATGCTTTTGGGGTTTTTGAGTTGACATAAAGCTATCCATACATATTCCTCTTGATTTTGATATTTTTTAAATTATATGCCTACAACGTTAGCCTATGTCTTTAAGTTCAAACATTATGAGATTCAGTTTTCTTACGCTGAATAATTGATCAAACCCAAATTTGCACATATGGGACTATGGTGCTTTAAATATCTAGTTGCTTTTCTCTGATTTTTTTGGCTTAAAGTAATTATCATGGACTATACTCTAACAAACTTTTGTCTTTACAAGCATTTCTTCTCACAAAATACCCCAAAATACACAGGGAAACCAGATACCACTCCGTATCACAAAATAATCAACCAATTTTCTTATGAAAGACACCAAGAACACCATATCCAATCAATAACTCAAACTTGTGATATCTATTTAAAGTTCACCCAGTTTAAGCAAAATGTTTTCTGCTCAAATATGCATGTCCATTTTGCGTCACTCCGTAACCATGCAAGCTTATGAATATTTATATCTCATTAATTAAGTGGATCACTACAACAAATATTATTATTTTGAAAAGTGCATGGGTACCAACAACTATTGTCGTGTACCATTTCTTTGTACTGGTAAATAAAGATTAAAGTATGGATGATAAATTTGTTTGGATGCTGAAATTTGTTTCTGAATAACGCCGTACCCTTGGAACTGCCCAAATACAACTTGTATCAATGGAAAGCTAAGTAGGAAAATAATATAAATATACAAAACTAAATCTTAATTTTCATATTGGTATACATGATTGTACCTCAACTAGGCTATTCTCTCCCCCCGGTCCCCAGTACTTGAAAATGACTTTTAATTGTATAGTGCAGGGGAGTGACGTCAAATGATGTGCATGGAATATGCTATAGCTGTCCGGTAGACAGGCACGATTATGGGTTTGCCCTTCAGGGAAAAAAACCAAACCATTCCATAACTGTGGACCTGTGTGTGTTGAGGGTCTATTATGAAATGAAAGGGCAAACACAATCATTCCTGGCTGCTAGACGTCTATATGCACATTCTTTGATGTTACTCACCAATGTAGCAATAATTCAGGCCACTTTGTAATTGAAGTATAAAGTACCAATTTTGAAGCTGCCAATTTTTGAGTGTTTTGGAAGGAATCACTTTCTAGCTACAGTGTAGATGGCCAATGAAAAACGCTTAAATTTGGTTTTGTTGTCTTGTAGCTTATTAGCTTATTTTTGATGTGTAATTTAGTTATTTCATTTTCTGGTCCAGTCAGGGTCTAACTTTATTTTTGCATCCTTTATCAGTGGGTAATACAACATGTTTGTTGATGAGGGTAAAGGTCATTGAGGGGTCAAAAGGTCATATTGCATGTTTTTATTGATCGTAAAATCAGGCAAGTCTGTATCAGCTGGTACATGTACAAGTACATGTATGTAACTTACCAGCTATACTAATGAATTTATTTAAAGTGTTCTCCTTTTGTGAGTTATGGTTTGTAGATCTATACAAGAACATATATTCAGTGGAAATAATTTTGATAAAGACATGAAGAACAGAGAATCTCAGTACTGCACAGCTTGTAGTGTGAAAAAAATTATATTCATTTGATTTAGACATAATATAATATTTAACTATAGTTTAGTAAAATAGTCCAGTGGCAAAGATTACTTTTCAAATGCCTTCCTACATACTCATATTATGACAGATAAAAAAAATGAAATATCTATTGGAAACATGTAGGCCTAGTCTCAATATATGCATTTATTTGTGGGTTGGATGTGATTCTTAGCAGAATATTGTAAAAAAAAGAAATTCAAAAAATATTTCAAATCCACCTACAGACTGATTTTTTTCTTCACAATTCATTGTCATGACCACAACACTATGCCATCAGTTTTTGACCAATTAAAGCAATTTAAAGCAATTTCATATCAATATCATTTTGGCAATTCCAAAGCATCAAAAACCACAACAATTATTAGGTGAACTAGCTGTTACCATCTTTCAGATGCATCTATAGACAGATTTTTTTCTCCACAATTCATTGTCGTGACCACAACCCTATATGCCTTCATTTTTTGACCAATTAAAGCAATAATTTCATTGTAAGAAATATTCAGAACTGTCAGTATTATTAATTTGATTTTTCTCTTGGTGTATAGAATCATCTTTTTTAAAATCATGAAGTGATATAGGTTTGGAGAAGAAAGCCTTTTGTGCCATTTATACACAGGAGTAGGATCAAAGCGTGTTTGGAAGAACACTTGTCATAATATTGTTTGGTTTGGGGATTATTTGAATATTCATCTAATATTGTGTTTGTCTGTTTCCTTACAGCCTGGAATTACCATATGAATTGATTTTCGAATGTGATGGAACAGAATACGAGGTCACCGTCAATGGTCAATCCAATATTGAAGTAAACCTGCACCATCTGCCCACAAGGGGGATCTTGAGCATCCGGCAGGAGGGGATGGTCATGGTGTGCGTCAGGTTGAGACAGGATGATGTTTAAGTTTATGTAAGACTTTACCTTAGGATGTATAGGTTTTAGCAGAGCCATCAATAAACAAAGTTCGGCCAACCCGGCTCGTTTAGGTTATAACATGGCGCATATTGCTTTGTTAGGCAAGCACAATACAAAAGAAAATGCGCCATGTTGTTACCCAAATGTAACCGAGTTGGCCAAACTCTGTTTACTAATGGCTCTGGGTTTTAGTTGAAGGTATGAAGTACATGTTCATGTTAATATTATTTTGATTTGGATATAATTGGTGATGTACATTGCCTGTATTTTCCTTTAGTTTTATTATTATTTTTGCTTTTGGTAACTTTCAAGAAACTTCTTTCATACATCTAAGATAATAAAAAAAAGGTATACACTCAATAGAGCTTTCATTTTTGTGATCTTGCTTGAAAAAATATGGATAATCAAAAATAATGCAAATTACAGGCAGTGCCACTAATTATTTTAGATATGTAACATTTGACCTAGATTGAATCAATGTAAGTATTATCAATTATGTTGTGCAGAAAGTATGATTATTTAATTGTTTTCCAGATGAGCATGATGCTAATGAAACTATTTTTGATACTGTTATATTGGTAAACAAACCCAAATACCTAGACATGCATACTTTAGTTAGAAATATAGTATTATTATGTTTTTCCTATGTAAACATGTATTAAATTTTCACTAAACAGAAAAACCTCCAAAAAATTATGTTACCAAATATATGCAAAACTCCATTTTTATTAAAAAAATGAAGTTTATTTTTGTTATTGTGGTAAAAATGTTTGTTTTATATTTTCTATGATATGTAAACTTTTGACCCCAATCGTACATTTAAATGTGATTTTGTTGTTTTGGATATGGTTATACATAGTTGTTGGTTTTAACTGTTGGAATACAGAGGTTAAAGGTCAAGGGCCACAGATGTCACCCTTTTTTGAAATAATTTGTTTTAAGGGGGAGGCATATTAGACGTAGTTGTATAAATTGTCTTGTTTATATTTTTGTTAGCAATTTATACTATATACATGTAATTTTAAAGGTGAATTTTAAGTGTTAGTTTTGGAGCCTGACAACCTTTTTTTTTGGGGGGGGGGGAGTATTGAGAATATTCTCCATAATGTTGGTTATAATTGTTCTATTTTATCAACTTCCGTCACATTGTTTGCGTTTTGTTTGAAACTGTTGGGTTTGAAAGTTTGATCCTGTAAGATATGTTACAATTTTCTTGTGCATTATAGATATTTCTGTTCATGGTCAAGTATTAAGTTGCATTTGAATCATTGCTTTCTTAAAATGTGTTAATTGTATGACAGAGAGTAAGTAAAAAAATATGATTACAGAGATTTTACGTTCCGTATGAAAGTTATATCGATCCGGTAATATTCCTGTGCCGTATGGATATTAATAGGTCAAGTGTAAAGATGTATATGAATGATTGCTTTCCTAAAATGTGTTAATTGTAGGTCAGAAAGTAAGATAATAAAAATAAAAGGTATACACTCAATAGAGCTTTCATTTTTGTGATCTTGCTTGAAAAAATATGGATAATCAAAAATAATGCAAATTACAGGCAGTGCCACTAATTATTTTAGATATGTAACATTTGACCTAGATTGAATCAATGTAAGTATTATCAATTATGTTGTGCAGAAAGTATGATTATTTAATTGTTTTCCAGATGAGCATGATGCTAATGAAACTATTTTTGATACTGTTATATTGGTAAACAAACCCAAATACCTAGACATGCATACTTTAGTTAGAAATATAGTATTATTATGTTTTTCCTATGTAAACATGTATTAAATTTTCACTAAACAGAAAAACCTCCAAAAAATTATGTTACCAAATATATGCAAAACTCCATTTTTATTAAAAAAATGAAGTTTATTTTTGTTATTGTGGTAAAAATGTTTGTTTTATATTTTCTATGATATGTAAACTTTTGACCCCAATCGTACATTTAAATGTGATTTTGTTGTTTTGGATATGGTTATACATAGTTGTTGGAATACAGAGGTTAAAGGTCAAGGGCCACAGATGTCACCCTTTTTTGAAATAATTTGTTTTAAGGGGGAGGCATATTAGACGTAGTTGTATAAATTGTCTTGTTTATATTTTTGTTAGCAATTTATACTATATACATGTAATTTTAAAGGTGAATTTTAAGTGTTAGTTTTGGAGCCTGACAACCTTTTTTTTTGGGGGGGGGGGAGTATTGAGAATATTCTCCATAATGTTGGTTATAATTGTTCTATTTTATCAACTTCCGTCACATTGTTTGCGTTTTGTTTGAAACTGTTGGGTTTGAAAGTTCGATCCTGTAAGATATGTTACAATTTTCTTGTGCATTATAGATATTTCTGTTCATGGTCAAGTATTAAGTTGCATTTGAATGATTGCTTTCTTAAAATGTGTTAATTGTATGACAGAGAGTAAGTAAAAAAAAATATGATTACAGAGATTATACGTTCCGTATGAAAGTTATATCGATCCGGTAATATTCCTGTGCCGTATGGATATTAATAGGTCAAGTGTAAAGATGTATATGAATGATTGCTTTCCTAAAATGTGTTAATTGTACGTCAGAAAGTAAGGAAATATTTGAAAAAATGTTATTTACTAAGTTTAGATTGTTGCAAGAAATTAACATTTGAAATGTTTCACAATAGGAGCAAAGTATACACATCTGGGGTAGATTTAATTTGTAATGTTTTATTTGTTGTGAAGATTTTAGTAGTTATTAGCACAGTTTAAAACAAAATATGTTATAGTGCATCCCATAAAAAAGTACCCTGTACTCTTATTTCCTCATAAGGTATAACTTACCATGAAAGTAATTAAGTTCTGTATTATTGAAGAGAATATAAGTTAATCTTTAACATGAAATAAAACAAGGTCATACAATTTATACATATATATATATGATGCTTTTAAATTTGGGTATACTATTTTTTTCTGTGATGCATGTGTAGTGTTTAACATATACAATTGGATCAACAATACAATGATACAGATGAAAAGTTGCATAAAGTTGCTTCTATTAGTGTTTATATTTGTATTAAAGTATTTTTTAATATAGTTTCATGAATAACTGTTTAAATTTATTTATGTGATTGAAATACTAATCAGGGGATGGTGTTGTCCATGAATGAATTGTAGAGATGAATTCTATGTGCCATGTACAGTGTATGTGCATTGTTATACAATGATTCTTATTTCTTTGAGGAGTGAGTGAATAGGTTTCAAGTTGTAATAGTGTTATCATATTAGATTACAGTATTCCTGTTATATCGAGTTTAGATACAATGCATGTTATGCACTTTTCCAAATGTCGTTATAACAGGAGTGGACTGTATTGGATTGTGCTTCAAGTGGTCTTAGAAAAGTGTTAGATATGGACTGAGGTGGCCTGTGGAGGTGGCACAATGTATAGATGATGCCATTTGAAAACTGGATTGAGTTTGCATAAAGATTTTAAAACGGTCTCGGTTGGTCCTGGAATTGATGTGTGAAGCACCAAAGTGGACTCGGGTTGGCTTATAATGGAACTGACATAATTATCTGAAAGATTTTATTTTTTGTTTTTTTAATTTATAAGCCAACTCGAGTCCATTTTTGTGTTTATGACAATTATGTTGTTGATGAAGATATTGATGATATGATGTTGATAATGATGATGGTGCATGATGATGATTATGATGATAATGATGTATATGGAGATGAAGATGATTATGGTCATCATAAGGGTGATCCTTGGTAGGATTGTTGTGATGATCATTGTGATTGTGACAAGATAATGCAGTGGCGGATCTAGGATTTAAAAGGGGATCCGAAAATGGGGGGGGGGGTGCACCCAAATTTTTATGATTTTAACATGCAGTCAATGAGTGGTTTTCACAAAAATAGGGGGCGTCGATTGTGTCCACCCCCATCCCCCCGGATCCACCACTGATGATGGATCTCTTACATTTAAGACTTGGCAGTTAAGTTGAAAACCAAAATTCATTTGGGACATGGCTTTACTGGACAAAGACCAAAGTGTTGCCTATTATGATTATTTAAACTGAAAATGAGATTTTCATATCAATATTCAAGTGAAATAAATATGGGCATTTATGATTTGATTTGAAAGAAAGAATAAGAATGTTAGCCTACAGAATTTTAAAAAATGATCAAGCACAAGGAAAACCCAGAGCTTTATAAATGTATTATGTATAATTATTTGTTTAGATGCCTCAGTTTTAATTGCAAGAGTAGTCTACGATATCTTTTAACAATAAAAATATCAATCAATTTGTAGATAACATAGACTTGGTGAATTACCTGATGAATTTAATTTTGCAAGATTTCTTTCTTTTCAATTTTTATTTTTGTTTTAGAGAATACCGTAATGCCTTTTTTTTAATACATTTATGTAGGTAGGCAATCTTTTGGAACCTGTAGAGGTTTGCGCACGTCACTACGTAAAGGAAATGTTGACGCCCCCTAATGAATATGCATTATGCTTGTGCCGACACGGCGTGTGTACTGTCCGTACACGCTGTGCATGCATATCTATCTAGGCTATGACAGCACATCTGCACTACCGATTCAAGCAAGAGAATATATGTATTTCACCACACTTGTATTGTTTTGAATACATTAATTGCATCTATACTTGCATCAATTAAGTTAGTGCATTTCTAAATTTGTATTGTACTGTTGTGACTTCATACTTGCATCAATATAAGTTATTGCATCTAACCTGTTCCAAACTGCATTTTGCGTGTCTCAAATTTATATCTTTGTCATGGGTGCATTGTTTGCATCAAGCAAGTTATTGCATTGTACATGTTCCAATCTGCATTCTACATGCTTCAAAGTTTCTATCTTTCGGTAATTGTATTGTTTTGACTACACACTCCAATTATTTAAGTTATTATATTGTACATGTTCCAAGCTGCATTCTACGTGTACCAAAATTTCTATCTTTGGGTAATTGTAATGTTTTGCCTACACACTCCAATCATATCCAAATTATTGCATTGTACATGTTCCAAGCTGCATTCTACGTGCTCCAAATTTTCTATCTTTTGGTAATTGTATTGTTTTGACTACACACTCCCATTATTTAATTTATTGCATTGTATATGTTCCAAGCTGCATTCTACGTGTTCCAGAATTTCTATCTTTGGGTAATTGTATTGTTTTGCCTACACACTCCCATCATTCAAATTATTGCATTGTACATGTTCCAAGCTGCATTCTACGTGTTCCAAAATGTCTATCTTTACGGGATAATATTCTTTTGCCTACACACTCCCATCATTCAAATTATTGCATTGTACATGTTCCAAGCTGCATTCTACGTGTTCCAAAATGTCTATCTTTACGGGATAATATTCTTTTGCCTACACACTCCCATCATTCAAATTATTGCATTGTACATGTTCCAAGCTGCATTCTACGTGTTCCAAAATTTCTATCTTTGGGTAATTGTATTGTTTTGCCTACACACTCCCATTATTTAAGTTATTGCATTGTATATGTTCCAAACTGCATTCTACGTGTACCAAAATTTCTATTTTTTGGTAATTGTGTTGTTTTTGCCTACACACTCCCATCATTCAAATTATTGCATTGTACATGTTCCAAGCTGCATTCTACGTGTTCCAAAATGTCTATCTTTACGGGATAATATTCTTTTGCCTACACACTCCCATCATTCAAATTATTGCAATGTACATGTTCCAAGCTGCATTCTACGTGTTCCAAAATTTCTATCTTTGGGTAATTGTAATGTTTTGCCTACACACTCCCATCATTCAAATTATTGCATTGTACATGTTCCAAGCTGCATTCTACGTGTTCCAAAATGTCTATCTTTATGGGATAATATTCTTTTGCCTACACACTCCCATCATTCAAATTATTGCAATGTACATGTTCCAAGCTGCATTCTACGTGTTCCAAATTTCTATCTTTGGGTAATTGTATTGTTTTGCCTACACACTCCCATCATTCAAATTATTGCATTGTACATGTTCCAAGCTGCATTCTACGTGTTCCAAAATTTCTATCTTTGGGTAATTGTATTGTTTTGCCTACACACTCCCATCATTCAAATTATTGCATTGTACATGTTCCAAGCTGCATTCTACGTGTTCCAAAATTTCTATCTTTGGGTAATTGTAATGTTTTGCCTACACACTCCCATCATTCAAATTATTGCATTGTACATGTTCTAAGCTGCATTCTACGTGTACCAAAATTTCTATCTTTGGGTAATTGTATTGTTCTGTCTACATACCACTCAGGCGCGGAGCCAGGATTTTCCAATAAGCGGGGGGGGGGGGGGGGGGGGGGGGGGGCCGGAAGTTTAAAAATTGCGCAGACCGTTGTTGTCCAACTCAATATACCAATACTGACAAGGTCATAATAGAAGCACCATACCGGTACATCGGGGGGGGGGGGCTATAGCCCCTTGCCCGAAAAATAAATGAGAAAAGATTTTTTTTTTAAATCATATTCGGGCCGCTCGCTGTCCCCCCCCCCCCCCCATTACTGGCGAAGCGCATAAGCTTTGATGCTTCATTAAATTATGAGAGAAAGAAGATGATTCGTTGTTCCATTCCCGTCTCTTAATCCTTGTTTGAATTCAGCTTTCCCCCTTCAGCACGAGGCGTGGAAGCTTTGACGTTTTATTAAGTTATTAGAGAAAGAAGATGATTCGTTGTTCGAGAATTGAGAGTCGAGAATGAAACAACGAATCGTCTTCTTTCACTAATAATTTAATGAAAACTAAATTCAAACAAGGATTAAGAGTCGAGAATGGAACAATGAATCATCTTCTTTCTCTAATAATTTAATAAAACGTAAAAGCTTCCACGCCTCGTGCTGAAGGGGGAAAGCTAAATTCAACAAGGATTAAGAGACGAGAATGGTACAAAGAATCGTCTTCTTTCTCTAATAATTTAAAAAAAACTGAATTCAAACAAGGATTAAGAATCGAGAATGGAACAACGAATCATCTTCTTTCTCTCATAATTTAATGAAGCATCAAAGCTTATGCGCTTCGCCAGTAATGGGGGGGGGGGGGGAAAGCGAGCGGCCCGAATATGATTTAAAAAAAAAATCTTTTCTCATTTATTTTGGTGACAAATAATACTTTCACAAAATACATATTATGCTCAAATTTTTGCTCGCTCGCTTCGCTCACTAGCCGAATTGTGAAACCAGAAAATTACTTTTTCGGGCAAGGGGCTATAGGGCCCCCCCTCCGATGTACCGGTATGGTGCTTCTATTATGACCTTGTCAGTATTGGTATATTGAGTTGGACAAAAACGGTCTGCGCAATTTTTAAACTTCCGGCCCCCCCCCCCCCCCCCCCCCCCCCCCCCCCTTATTGAAAAATCCTGGCTCCGCGCCTGAGTGGTATGTAGACAAAACAATACAATTACCCAAAGATAGAAATTTGGTACGCGTAGAATGCAGCTTAGAACATGTACAATGCAATAATTTGAATGATGGGAGTGTGTAGGCAAAACATTACAATTACCCAAAGATAGAAATTTTGGAACACGTAGAATGCAGCTTGGAACATGTACAATGCAATAATTTGAATGATGGGAGTGTGTAGGCAAAACAATACAATTACCCAAAGATAGAAATTTTGGAACACGTAGAATGCAGCTTGGAACATGTACAATGCAATAATTTGAATGATGGGAGTGTGTAGGCAAAAGAATATTATCCCATAAAGATAGACATTTTGGAACACGTAGAATGCAGCTTGGAACATGTACAATGCAATAATTTGAATGATGGGAGTGTGTAGGCAAAAACAACACAATTACCAAAAAATAGAAATTTTGGTACACGTAGAATGCAGTTTGGAACATATACAATGCAATAACTTAAATAATGGGAGTGTGTAGGCAAAACAATACAATTACCCAAAGATAGAAATTTTGGAACACGTAGAATGCAGCTTGGAACATGTACAATGCAATAATTTGAATGATGGGAGTGTGTAGGCAAAACAATACAATTACCTAAAGATAGAAATTTTGGAACACGTAGAATGCAGCTTGGAACA